AAGTAGTATAAAGAAATTCAGATCATTTAAAATATGCCGGGTGATCGTAGTCAACGCTGTGTGACAAAGTATAAAACAGAAGCAGCATTCTTGAGTTTTGTGTTTGATTGCATACTCTCTTTTAGGTTTCAACCAACCATTTGCCCGTGCAACGCAAGAGCGCAAATACACTACTGAAATGAAATAGACTCACGTTAACGTCAGAACAATGTATCTGTAAAGTTAGATCTTTTAATCTTTCATTTACCTTACCATAGTCCATGTAGTGTCTATTTGCCAAGATTGCCTGCCCTGCGTTTACCGCGTAACCAGTAGCAACTAAAGTGCATTTTCGGCTCAGCAGGTTAACAACTGCTTATTTACTTAGTGTTTGAGAATGAGGTTTAATTTTAATGGGCAACAACAACAGTCAAGTGTGACACACCTTATGACGATGCTTGATGGTCAAATGAGCGTGTCGTTTTCACATAAACCACTTGTATTTATTGAAACTTAACATAAAAACCACTAATATTATTGCGACAGTTACCTGTTGATTTATCTTTCCTTTGTAGGTTATGAAATTCACTTTGGTCCTTCTTCATCTTGGTTAATCTTGTCTTAAAAACATTCTTTTTAAGGTTTGTAACAAAATACATTGCTTCTAGTATTTTTCACTGGCTATTTTTTCCCAGCAAGAAGTCTTGTAGCCGTATAAAGAGCACGTGATACAGCGCAGTGTGTTTATCGCGAAATTGAAACGTTCGAAATAAGGCAATTTTAGAAGTAAGAGAAGTGGTGCACACCCAACTGTACACGGAGCTATTTTTTGTGACTGTTTTGAAAAATTCAACGCTTCCTTTGCGTAACTCCGTTTCTTGTTATTTGCACGTAACGCCGACAGTGATTCGCGATTAATAATGCAGGGGTCCGCCAACATATATGTTCGTAATCAACAATATCGCAAAATATCCAAGCAGTTAGTCTGAGACATCGGTACGGTTTTAGTACGCGTAAGTGTTCCTGAAACACTATATGCTGGTCCAAATCGCTTATCACTGGGAACAGAGTGATTGGAAAGGCAACCAGATCTATGTAAGCAGTGTATAGAGATAGACATTGCTATAAGCTATAAACAGGGATTTGTGTGCAAAGAACTGCAGGAGTGTGACAGTACTTTAAGAAACATTATTTCAATCAATATATTTCTTAAGAACATCCGTGTTGCTGACAGCTAAATATCTACCCTCAGTGTCGGTCGTCCGACAGCTAGTATTATTGGTGAGATTTAATGTACATTAAGTATTTTAAATAATGGTGACCGTTTGTTGGAATCGGGCTCAGATTGCCGTCTATTTCTGAGAAACATCAACTCTAAGTATAAGGAGAAACATCATCTAACGTAGCGACCTCCACAATCGACTTATCGATCACATGACCGTTGCCCATCGTTGAAGGTGTTCAGCTGAATAATGTCGCTCATTCTGCAGCAAATGATTAGAATCGGATCATTTAGTCCGAGCACATATTTGTCTAATGATGAAAAACTAGAGGATGAGCTAGCCAACCGTTAAATGATATCCATTCCGAGGTAGGTTGATATGATGTCCAGAAAGCTGCGAAAACAGAAGTTATATCTTCTAGTAACCTAAACCAAAAGGTTAGGAAAATTAGTGGCTTTCAGAAGTATCCGCAGCACTGATAGACGCCCATAAACCAATCCCATCTGACTCAGCACACGACGAAGAGCCGACGCCGCTTGATGATGTTTGTGAGTAGTGGTGGGTAGCGAAAGCAGAAGAGACGGAAAAGGTAGGAGCAACGGGTAATAGTAGACAACTGTTAAGACCTATAAAAGAATCGGGTGTTGGTGAAACTCCCCCGGAGATGGAGCCGATGATAACAACATTGAGAAACAGTTCAACCAACCTTTACCCACACTTTACCTACCCACTACCTCCAAGTAACCTGATGAAAGTCCTCCAACCATTATGAGGTTCAAACGACTATAAGTAACCTAAAGCGAGGGAGAGCAGCAGAGCCCGATGGACCAACCCCTGAAATTTTCAAGGATCGTGGTCTAGATTTAGCAGTTAGACTAACTGGGATCTCAGCTAAAATATGGGAACTGGACATAATCTGACTGATCTCGATCGCCCCAGTTTACAAGAGAAAACTCTGGCAACCGCAGTGTCTAAAATATTAGCCTCAATAGTACTTCGACGTCTAACTACGGCAAATCCAAGAAAACTAGGCTGGTATCAGACCTGGGCGTGGATGTATAAGACGAATATTCATTCTTCGGCGAATTCTGGGAAACACACTTTTCGACATCCTACTATAGTTGTATTGCTTGACATTGAAAGGTGTACCAAAGAAGCATAGGCTCTATTGGAACACTACTGGTCGACTCAGCTTACGGCGAACTGCCGTCGAAACTGGTTGCTTCAAGTAGTGTTCGTCCGAGTTGTCTGCTTTCTCCACTTTTATTTAACTTCATGATGAGATCTGATCTTTCAAGGGGTTTATCTTCTACTAGATTCATTTGGTGACTCGAAATTCATAGATGTTTTATTTATTTAAACACATAAACATTGCTACAAGGTGGCACCAAACAGATATGCGCCACATAAATCATTCGATTTATGTTAAGGCTGGGATACTTCCCGGGTGCTCAGACCAAAGCAGGCGGTTTTCTTAGGGGGCCAAACCCGGAGCCTTTGACCTGAAGGTTTAATCAGCAAGGCAATGGGACAACGTCAAGAGATGCAGTCCCATGGGAGCGGGTGACCAACGATTGGTTCACATGCCATTTGTTCCTTCAGGATCCTAGAGCCCATGTACACTATTGGTTTAGAATCACGGTTCTCCAACCCCCGTGGATCTTTCATATCCAACAACCCAGTTAAGTCGCCGAACATTCGCTTTTCGTCCTCTCAATTTGGTAGACAAAAACTCCGTCATGAGGACTTCCCTGGCAGTGGTTGTATGCACGTTGTCATTTGGGAGCATTTAGAGAGAGCTGACTTGCCTCAATCTCGGTTGTACCAGGGCATTTGAAGTCACTGACGATGTAGTTTCCTGATCACCTTGAGAAACAATGCATGTTCGGGATGCGATTATCTTCCTCCAAATGAAAAGATATTACTTCTGCATTGGCTTGTATGGTGGCCTGAATTAGCGATAATGAGTGATGTAGTTGCACGCATCGACCGCTTTGCTTATCTTGAAAGTCATATCAGTACTGATGGTCATTATGAGTAGAGAACATCCTCAGGTTAGTGGTATTCGATCACGTGTCCACGAAGCATTTCTCATGTATTCTGTGATCACAGACTAAACAATGAGTTAGGAATGCAGTACTAGGTTGAAACGGAAAATTGATTGATGAGGTGGTTCTTCAACTAAAGTGGTTAGGACATGTGTTACGTATGCCCCACTACTGTCTATCCTGTCGAGCGATGTTGTCTGGTGCAGGAGCAGGCCGGAGAAAAACTAGGGGTGGTGGAACTAAAACATGGAATCAATCCATGAAGTCACTGACAATTGGACTTGGTCATTTTAACAGGCATTATTATCGTAACCAATGTTCAGAGACTGAATTCTATAGCTCGAAATCGTCTGCAATAGCGCAGGTGCATTTCTCTCTTTGTCTTCCCCAACTTCGACCAATGTACAGGCTCCACGTTGTGATGGACTGAAGTATCTTATTAGCATACGGGTTATACATACTTGTGATAGGGATGCGGGTTGATGTACACGTAGTTTCTAGAGTAATTATCGAGATACTGGGATTTGTGACGATTGATTGGAAATTCAGCTACATATCAGATTAATGTGATGGTTACACTTGTCAAACCCTACAGACAAATTTTTTCGGTGGATTATAGGATTCACAAGCAGTTAGCTAGACAACACACATTTATCTAGAATAATCTCTAACCAATCGGGCATACAGGCAATATCAGGCACGAAACAAGACATAGGCCAGAGAAACAACGAAAGACAAGGGATGAAATTTCTTCGCGTACTTGCCAAGAATGGTTCTAGCTGGTCAAGGGGCACCTCGGAGACTGCAATAATATATTTCATAGTCGTTACCAACCTATGAAGCCTTTGTGATGGGATAAATGCCTGATCAGTTGTTTTTGCAAGTCTTCTCTTGGACCGAAATGTTAGTGATCTTCTTGCCTTGGCTCTTCCGCATTAAATAAGTAGAGGAACTCATCTTCATATTAGAGCGTAATCAGAGGTTAAACCGGTGCTTTAAAAGGGGAAATTTTCTTACCGAACCTCTCATGTTATTAACTTGCGCACCCGTTGCAAATTTCCGGTAAGATAGTCTTTCCCTATGCATGAAGCTAATGCTCGCTAGGAACGGACGTTTGAATGAGCTTGTGTACAGCAGGCAGTCACCATCGCCAGTTAGCCAAGCTGATATCGTGGGATACACATCCATCCAACCGCTCTAGCTAAAAGAACGCTACTATTGTTTTCTAGCACCTGTGATACCACCACTATTTTTTGGCGTCTTCATAACTTTATCAGGCTGCGGCACTCTAAACGACAACAGGTTTAAAATCATCATTATTAACTGAAATCACCCTCAGCTTCTATTCGGAGTTACATCAAGTGGTCCACTAAGAGTAATGAGACTGTATCTTGCGGGTGTTGAAAACATGGTGTCGACAGAATTATCGCTAGACAGACTGCCAATGTTCAGAATTACTTGCAGGAAGTGACTAAGCTATGGTAGACCGAAACGAGGTTGTACATCTCGTGATCGCTGGATAGAACTATGTTAACCCAACTTTTTCATCTAAGATAGCGTTGGACTTTGCCGAGACGGACACTTTGAAATTCACTATATACGGATTAGCCCTGTCATACCATCAGTAGCACTTACACTAGTGTCCAAACGCAAGACGTAGGTGATGCACGACGACATACCAACAATGTTTTCGAAAACTATCCGACGAAAATGAATTATTTCGAGCTGTAATGTGTGGTTTAAAAGACGGATTACATCCTGAAGCGATAACAGGAAGCAATTATATGTTCAGATCCACAATCATGTCTGTTATTATCGCTTGCAGTACGGAGGTGAGAAACCCTAATACATCACTTCATGCAATCTACTCATGGATCTAGAGACCGGCCTACATAACACCAGTATGATATAAATCATTGAGTGGTTTGAAACTGCATGATCTAAGCGGAACATCCGGAATAGACAACAAACTACGTAGTACCATTATGTTACGAATTAGTGGCTAATTTCGATTATCTGGGCACACAAAATACTTGATAACAAGATTCATCTAACCCCACAATTTAAATAAGAGCGCTCTGTTCCGGGACTTGTGTTTAATGACCTTATTACGCACCTAAGTAATAAATGATCAAATTTATTACGAGAACGATAAAAACATGGCACTTGCATACTCAAATTTAGTTTTTACGAGTATAAAGTTTATAGCACTGAATGAACTACTTATGACACGCAATCAACACCAACAAAGTATATCAAAAGTTTTTTGACGTCCAAAGAATTTGGTTAATTTATTTTTTGTGTTCTACAGTGGCTTTTTTTCTCTTCTTTTCTGTTCCTTGATGAGTTGTTTTAGAACTTTTTGTTCCTCCATCATGAAAGCACGAATGATCCTATCAATCACTAAGATGAACATAAAACCTACCGATTACGGACACAAGTATGACAGCGCGAACCACCATATGGCCTGTTAACAGTCTTCAACCTTTTACTCATTGAGGTTCTTTCACGCGGTCTGGACGGCTTGATACCGAAAAGTTTACTTTTGCAATCGCCACATTTTGGAAATGTTCCACGTTTTTTAACATAGATGTAGACAACCTTGCCACCGGGTGTTTTGACTCTAAAACAAAGATACTCGTGATATACCCATACAGAATAGAAAAAGAATTGTGGAACATACACATTTATCACTTACAATACATTATTCCATGACCAAACCAAATACAGATTGTTCTGAAAAACTTCACGCAAAAAGCATTGTATGAATTAGCTCAAGCTGTAATTCTTTCAATATACCTCCACATACTAGCTTAAAATACATTTTAAGCAATGGGTGGGAGGGAACTTTTGTTTTATATATTTCGCAAACGATGTTGAAAGGCAATGCCAGGTTGTCGATAACTTGCTGAGCTGCAATAAATTACGGAGACTTTCCATACGTCTCCAAGAAAAACAGATAAGTAGACACACTAAATCCTATTGATTTAATCTACGATCATCTAGCGAAATATAGGACGTAGTGTAATGAACTTTCATCAATCTTATGTTCTATGCTAGGTAGCTACTTAGAATACTATTAGTAATCAGAAAAACTTGACTCTGCATATATTAGCACAATAGTTTTCAAATAAGGTAGACTTAGTTGTCAGTTGATGCAGCTGGCAGATATTTCATTTTAGTACACTAAGACAATTTGACTGGCTTCCATGGTTACAAGATGCACATGTTAAGACTAATAGAATAGAAGTTTGGATCGACTTGTGATAAATAACGGACAGAATATTCAAGGGAGTGGGCTTTAATTACACCTGACATGTTGTAGCTAATTTACAATTGGTACACTTTGAACACACTGCCATGTAAAACTAGTATTGATTGCAAATGCGGTGACGTTTCTGCACTCAATAACGTGGCAATAACTGTAAATGAGTCGAAAATTCGACATATTTGTAATGTTTTAGGATCATAATTACACCCGAAAAACCACAGCCACGTAATTAGCAAAATTCAGCTGAGTCAGAGGAAACACAATGTTTTTTTAAGTTATGATTTGAGTTTGAGCAAAATAACTGTCTGGTCGAGTATGTCAATTTAGAACATGTCAGCCATGAGATTACCGTGCCAAAGCCCGGTCAGTACAAGGCTATTATTTTAACCCTCATAATAGCTACAGAGGGTGAGTTGTAAAAACGTTTGAGTAAATAACACTCAATAAGCAAGAACTCACTTTTTTCTCTTGTTGGAATTGGTATTATATGACAACCTACGCCTCAAAGTCAGCCGCTGCATGCTTGTCAACCAACAATTGTGCGAAAAATTTGAGGTGATATAAACAAACGATACACTGTCCAATACGAATCAGTTACTTTCCATTTTATGAAGAATGGAACTCTGTGTCTATATTAGCCTTACTGGTGTATTTCTTTCATTTGTTTAAAGTATCTCGAATAGGTTTGCAAAAGGGACTGTGACAACGTTTTTAGGTAAAAGTTTCATTTGTTGATAATTCTATTGAAAAATAGAAAATCAACGGCGTATTTGAAGCTTGTTCGACTTGGTTGAATATCACTTTTACTTCTGACAGTGAGTTGGCTTAAATTATATACATGAGCTATGGTCATCGTTGGTTTCATCCTGTTTTCTAATTTATAATCCTCTCAACTCTGTCTACTAGATCGCTAATTTCAGTAGGTAACTGAATACCCAATAGCCAAGAAAAATCTTATATTCTCTGCAGACAAACAGTTCCAGGTTTGTAAACTCTTCGAAGCATCCTTGTAAATTTCTCATTCTTCATGGTCTGAAAAATTAGCTCATGTCAGTTGGAAAGTAATTATTAGTTTATAGGAATACACATCATATTATTTTAAGCTTTCCAGTTCTCAGAAATGAAGACCAGTTTTCTCAGTTGAATTTTTCAGGGAATACTTTATGCAGTAGCTTGAATGGCTTGACATCTAAGTGATTAAACGCTCCACGTACTGCCTAAAAGATTATGAATACTTTGACTATTCTAAATAGCAGTGTGCAGAGGTTTCCAAGCCCTGACTGATAGTACGACCACGTTTACTATGTGACCTGCCAAATGGTAATTCAAAATTTTTAATTCTGTATTCATCTGTATCTTAATCACCAATATGGATCACTATGCACTCGGACACATTTATTTGAAAGTGTTGAATGGTAACCTGTTCTGTTAATTTAGTTACATCTTTCCAACAGTGTTTCCTTTGTTTTGTATCCTTTCTTTTCCGGTATCGTCCGTATATAGCAAGAGAGAATATTATAAGAAATCGGGGGGATAAACAACCTATGAAATAAAATTATTGGTAGACTTTAAAACATTTCCTAGTTAACACTCACTCTTTGTCTTTGTTCAACAAAAAACTAATTCATCAATAGAATGAAGTTACATTTAAATCGGATGGCACAGGACTTGTGAAAGTCTTCTGAACACCATGTAAAATCTCTGAATTATTTTCAACGCACTGCTTTAGGCCAACAGCAGATTGTATAAATGATCCTCTTCCAAACTTTTTGTTATCATACTGACGTGGTTATTTTTAATTATTTGTAATCCGTAATTCCTTAGTAATTCGCTGAATAAGATAAGAGCATACAAACCACAATGTATCTATTACTTGTAGCCTAAGTTTCTTTAACTGCAGTGACATATTTTGATGCAGACGTGACTGATAAGTGGTCGAACTATCTTACTACCAATTCTTTCAGGAACTCGAAAATAAGGTGTAACATTGATTCGATCATCCAGAGGACTGCGCCTACTTATTTTTTATGACCATTTCAAAAGCTGAACATGTAGATCCGATCCGTTCATTTGGCCACCAATCGTATTATCACGAAAGTATTTTGTCGTTTTGGTCCACCTTAGGTGTTCTGGCTTAGGTTGGTAACATAATTATTCTGTTACTTCGAATTAGTCTTCATCAAAATTCGTTGTAACTAATCGAATAGGTTATGTATGCTTGTATGTTATCAGGAAAAAGTATCTTACACTAGATATGCTTAGTAGGTTTGCTTCGATAGTCATAGTTATAAATACTTGGTTTCACACCAGATAGATGATTGAATGATAAGAAGTGAGTGGACTTTCAAAAAAGGTTACATCATTTGTTGACAGATGTAAAGGTGAAGATTTTTTTCGATCAATGCTTGAAGGACTGAATATTTCATCGGATAATTGTTGATATAAAGGTACCATAGATATTGAGAGTTTAAGAAGAATACCAACTCAGCCAAATCAGAAGTCAGAAATGAAGGGGCTCGAAAATATCTTTGGAAGACTATCGTTATGTCGAGAAGTGTTTGGTCTAAGCTGGCTAATCATTGCAAGGGATATGTAGTACGGCGTACCCATTCGTAATCTGATGCGGGTGCGTGACCGAGTTCTTTCAGTTAGGTATATCCAGTAGAATTATTGAAGTTAACATCAACGCCGAAGACTTATAGAGCTGTTCATTTTCTGGAGACTTACTGACTGCTGAAGCTCCCTACCCTATTCTAGTGGAGTAGTGATGAACCCAAGGCGTGGTTAGGCAGAAGTTTAAATACGCCAAGCTTGTCGTTGGTGAACTATTTTCTGATAGCTCGCTATTACCAATAACATAGAGTCGTCTTTCTCTAATATAAGGGGCTATGTGGTACAGTGTAACAATAAAATACGCACAATCAAAATTTTCATTCATTGTATTCTTTGTCAGGTTTTCATCTTTTGCAGCCGTTCTAGAAAAGAACAAAGACATTGCAAGTGCACGTCGAAATACACTCGTACGTGCGTAAGGACACAAAACGCGTGAACAAAGATAAACTGGTATACATGCGTAATGTTAACACGCAAACCGTAACAACAACTTTTGCACAATAATTTTCTTGAGGGAAAAAGTATGGACATATATAAGCAACTTTGATCTTTTGGCACGACAATACAAATAAACGAGATAAAACAAAATGTTATTCAGTGTCCTACTCACGGTAAGCGTTTAAGTGTTCCGGGAGCCTTACTCTTCTTACAGAGTGCGTTGTTTCGGGCCAGTTATCAGATACCGGCGAAGTTTCTACGTGGTTGTTGATAATCGGGAAGGGCATCATGACTGTAAAGCTCATGTCATTCGAGTGCAAGTGAAGAAAATCAACACTGTTAGGGTTTCCTTCTAAATAGGTGCCTTAAAAACAGACAATGCTGGCGTTAGCGTTAGTTCCGTCTCTATCGATGGTATAGTATTTAGGTCTAAGATGAAGGAGTTTGATGATTATTCGTATGCTAGTTCGAGAGATCATCGTAAAGAATCACAACGTGCAAAATCGTGCGTACTATAACGTAAGACAGGTTGAACGAAAACATAAGTTGACTGTGGTCGAGTGGAAACGGGTTTAGCCGAGCGTACGGCGTTTGTAGGCTTGCTTCAGTAAGAGTTGAGCCCCTTGAAGAATTTGAAGGATACACAAACTCTCATGAAAGTCGGAGTTTTGTTGTGCCACACTGAATTGGGAGTATCGACGAGTGTAAGAGCATTGGTCCGCCGTGAAACGTCTATAGCTGAGAGTTAAACTTCCAGCTGTCAGTGAAATTGCCCTACCAAACCATTTGCTTGTTGGTGGTTGATTGCCGTTCGTAATTATGTGATTGCTAGTAGTGTAGCAAGACAACGATAAAGTCCGAATTCGAACTGAGTTGATATTCGAGCGTCACCCGACCTTCTAGGCATCGCTCGACGACGGCGCGCGTCGCTGTTATTGCAATAATGTCCTAAATAGGCACTGCCTCTGGTTATCGTGTGAGATGGTCTATACACGTTAAGAGGTAAGGGCATCCGTTTGGATCTGGTAGGGATCATTCCAGATCAAAATGAACAAGCTAGAAACAAAATTCGGGAGGTTTTAGAAAAGGCCAAGGGACATTTGCTAAGTCAATCATCCTGGATTTTTGGCAGTTTACATAAGAGCATGCTCATTCTTTCACGTCTTTATTTATACCAGACCAGCAAAATCGTTCTGCGATGAGCTTAGTGGCTGCTTGAACACTGGGATTGGGACGTCTGTTCAATGTGTTGAAGACGTTGCATCGATAATGTTTCAGCACGATCAAGCGTTCCCTACCTGTGGATGTATAACAAAAACGTTTCCTTGTCTTTTTTCATCTGTTTAAGCCGTAGTTCCAGAGTTGTAGAAGATCACTCATGGTGAAGATCAGCGTTTTTGAAGCTGAATGATTCTTAAGTCCATCATGTGGTCGAATTCGTTTTCGGCCTACCTCAGCTTTTCAGGAGCTAGTCGACGTGGTTTTGAAAATATGGATGGCCTTTTAGTCATGATTTGGTGTGCAACATTGCTGGTTACGCATTGTAAAATTGGTTGCGTTTTGAAAATTTTGGGTTATTGTTGAGAATCCGTTGATAGTATGGGTTGATTATGTGCTTGACAGTGACTGAAGACAATCTACAACCGAAAAACAAAGTTACTAACCTATGTCTGCGCTTGTCGACGAGCAGATTCTTGTATTGTAGCAGGTTTATGCTAATGGTTGGCATAGAAACACTTGCGACAACGAAGATTCAGCGGATGGGTTGGCATCAGCCAATGTTAGGGTACACATATTACTTACCATGTGTGTTGATCGGTCGTTAGAATTCTCTGGAAGAACGCTAAAGTCTGTGCCAGCGTTGAACAGGTAGCGAACATTCCCAGTTACAGCGGTGATGTATGACAGACGGCTATGTTTGCCGGCATCGGTTGCCGTTCACGCACGCCGGCTGGGAAGTTTCCCGAAACGTTTTTCATGTCTATTGGCTTGGGATAGGAAAGTTGACGGGTTTTCTGCAATTTCGAGATTTTTCATACTGATTATGATACCAGCACCAATCAGGGTTAACAACCTACGATGATCTATAGACTTATCATTTTCGTGAAGGACTCCTTCGAGGAGTTTGGGAGCGTCTACCGACATGATGAATATTAGGGTAACGTGTCAGAGTAGGACAGGGTTCTGAGACATGATTTCTCGTTGTTTGGGTCTTTTTATGACTAAATATACCCTGTTGTTAGAAGTCCTAGTGATCTCTAGAATACTGTCGGCAGGTGCAGCCAGCTCGTCCACAGCGTTGTTTTGAAATGAGATAAGCACTGTCTGTACGGGTAAGGAGAGCTTAGACAGGAAGAGCTGTTAAAAAGGCCTTCGTCAGACGTCCTTTGACAAATGACCTCACGAATACGTAACAACATTTCGGTTACTGAGTCATGTCGAATTTCAATGTTGTGGAACAGTTGGTCTAACCTTCAATGTGTCATAAGGTTCCGAAACATCACGA